TAAAGGAAAATTTTATAGATGACATCTCAAGAAGACAATGAAAAACCATCTATTACTTTTATATGCACAAGTTTGATTTTTTTTAACTTAGGATATTTTTTATTTTTTGACAAAGTCTTTGTTTATATAATAGGTTAAGGCTCTTAAATCTAACAAGGCTAAAACTTTGTAATTTTTTGGTTCCAAAAAAATTTCTATTATAAAAAAAGATAGAAGATCTGAGAAAAAGATAAGACCTTTATTAGGTATTGCACAAGATTTCAACTACATAATCCTTATTATACTTGAAAAAATTGATTTTTTGACACATCATCTTCTTTGGCAACCATGCTCTTTAATTTGTGGTTATTTTTTTGGATAATTTTGAACAATATATTTAAATCCTCTATAATATAAGGACAAACCTATTTGATAATATCAATTCTTTTCTTGTTCAATAAGAGAATCAAAATGTAGTATGTTAATTTACATAGATTCTTGTCATGATGAATAAGCTTCCATGAACTTAGAAGTTGTAGCCATAACTTAACTTGTATCTTTCAAAGAATTGATTATTACATGTAATGGCTTTAGTAATAAATTGCTCTAATAAATCTATTTTTAGTATCACTAATAATAAATCTTTGATGTTATCTTTTAATCAATATCAAAATTGATTGATAAGAACTTTGTCATTCTAATCTATATTGCAAGCAAAGTTTTGAAATTCAGTAGTATATATAGTGGCTAAATATGATTCTTGTTGAAAAAATATAAATTAGGTCTCTACTATCTTTTTTTAATATTTTTTTAAAAAAATAGATATAAATAATTCTAAAAATAAATTCAAATTATAAAGAAGAATGAAATCTTTTTCTGTCAAAGGTGAAAACCATGAAAAAGTACTTCCAAAGAAAAAAGTATTTAGGAATTTAACTTGAATAAATCTATTAAGATATTGAGAAGGATGCAATCTTAAATAGACTTTATTTCTTGTAAAATTCCTTGAAATATTAATCTTGTTCCATTAAACTTCTTTAGCATACTTATTCTTATCTTCCTTATACTTATAGTAGCAAGACCTTTTGAATTTAGTTATGAACTTGATCTACTTGCTTCTTTCAATTATACAATTTTTTGGCATAGACTTTAAATTTCATTATTGACTTCTTCCATAGGCAACAAAATATTACTTCCATAATTGATGTAAGAGATATATGAGATTTCTATTCTTAGAGTATTAATAAGCTTGTGAAAATCAACAATGGTTGTAAATCTTTTCTCACTTCTTCTGAGAGTAGCATCCATAATTTTTCCTTCTATAGAAAACTCAAATAAATCTACAAGTCTAATTTAAGGAGAATAATCTACAATCTTTAATGTCAAATAAAAACTTTCATGAAGGAGAGGTAGTCCACTATCTTTAAGAAAAAAATCAATGTTTAGAAACTAAAATATTAGTTTTAAGATAGGTAGTGAGCAACCTTCAAAATATAATAATAGAAGTGGAATAATTCAACCACTTTTACAACAAAACAAGAACAATAAATTAATACTCTTGCCAAATTATCAAAGACATGAATCTCAAAGAATAAAAAGATCAATACACTCTTAAATCACTCAAAAAGACTAAAAAATTACTCAAAGATGGTATAATATTAAATTAGAATAATTATTGCTAAAGATAAGAAGATTAGCAAGTCTTGAAATAAGACTAAAAACTAGAAAGGCATTAACAAGTCTAAAGAAGACTTCATTCTTACCTCCATATTTATTATCTAACTAAGAGCTGTATGATTACATTCTATAAGACCTCCAACACTTGTCAAATTTATGAAACACTTGTCTAACTTGTAAAATAAGTTTCTTATATGTATTTCATATAGTTAGCTTGTTCCACAAGCTGCTAATACCTATGACACATGACTAATTTGTTGGCCAAATTTCTAACCTTTCAATCAACTATAATCAAGTATGAAGTCAAATATGCATTTATGAAGCTTCTAAAAAGTTTTGCTATAAGATAATATTAAATCTACCTACATTTATTTCTATCTAATACTTTTTATCTAAGTAAATATATATGTCCATGACAACCAAAGATATTTAATGGATTAAGATTAAAATTTTGAGGATTTTTACAATAAATTAAGCTCTATCAAAGATTGTATCACTTCTAATATTCTCATAGATTTACTCAAATTGAATTCATAGGTGCACTCCTATTTGGAAGTATTCTCTGTTGTATTGTACCTTTGATAGAAAAGAATTCATAATTCTTTTATGATCTAAATTCATTATTGGAAGTGTCTATAGCCACATATAAAGAAAACGATCCAAAAAAGATATCAAAAATTAAATACTTATCTTTACAACAAAGATTACAATCAGCTACCATTTATATTGGTAAATCAAAAAACCTTGCTTGCATTATCGATTAGAATAAAAAAAGCCCTTATCAATCAATTTTAATATAGATTAAAAGATAATGTCAAAGATTTATTATTGACAATGTTAAAAACAAGATCATTAAAAATAAAAACAAAAAAAATAAAAAAAAAAATGCCTTAACCATTGCATATAAAAATTGGTTTTTTAAAAGAGTTCAAGAATAAAGATTTAGTTAAAAAGGAATAAATGAAGTAATGATGGAAGCTCTCAAGTTTTTAGAAGCTTATTTATCAAAGTCAAAACCTATGCAAATTAATACAATATATTTTAAACTTCTTACTAGGTAAGAAAAGACTTGGTATTGTATAAAAGGATTATACTTATATTATAGAAAAACTAAGCACATCTAATAATATCAAATATTACTAAGCTATTATGGCTATTAGTTGTTACATCTAAAAAAATAGTTTTATGAATAATATTCCTATTATTAGAACTTCTTCTAATCCATTCATTTTAGGTTTGTTGTGGTTACAAAAGTATAATCCTTAAATAGACTATATTTATTGTATTCTTAATTTTTTCCATAAATTAATCCAAATTCTTGTTATCTACATAGAAAGTCACTTGTCTAATACATCCAAATCTTTATTGTTACTTACAAGAGCTCTTATGCATATTACAAGATGTTTTTGAGAAGAAAAATGTAGATATTCTTTGAAAGTATTGTCTTTATGATTGTTCAATTGATCTTCAAAAAAGAAGTCAATCACCATTTGGACCAATCTATAGCTTATTGCAAAATGAATTGGATGCTCTTAATATAATAATTAGGTAACTTCTACCTTTGATATCAACTTTTTAATACTGCTTAGTTTTTATCAATACATTTGATTTTGTTCCAAAACACATATTTTATCTAATAAAACATGTTTCATTATTTTCTAAATAAAATTTCTTTCATTTAATTTAATTTTTTTTTTTTTCAATAGTATCATATAGATTTATTACAACTTTATTTATATCTTATTTTCCTAGCATCTTATGTATTCTTGTTAGCCATATGTATGAATTTTGTCAAGTTTTTGAATGATTACATAAACAATTAAAGAGTTATTTTTATTAATATTTATCATTAAGCTTTTATTAATTTAGGAGACAATAGTATTGTGCAATGTATTATATATTACTTTGTTTTGATTACAATTGGACATTTTCAATGCTATGACAATCAATGTTCTTTAAGAATAATATACACCCAAACAACTATATTGATGATTTAGTTTCTCTTTGGAATTTATAATTCCAATTGGAATTGAAGGTTTTGGAAAGTATTAAGGTATCTTATAGTAATTTGTGGTGAAAGTTTTGGAAGAGAGACAAAGAATAAATTACTTTCATAAGGCAAGGATATAAAAATAGAAAGTTTAAAAAAAAAAAAAAAAATTAAGGAAAAAAAAAAAACATTATAAAGTCAAGATAGTGTACAAGAACTGGAGGATAATCATCACCTTATTCTTTTAAGAATATGAATACAATCGAGATCTTATGCATACAGCAGAAATCATAATAATTACAATTTGATTGAATATAAAAATAGAAAGGCTATTGTTCTGAGCACACTGGCACGATTTCTGTAGATAGGATTACAACTACCATGAGTCTGAGAAAGTTCATTAAAAATCGAGGTAGACTGGAGAACATGGCAATCGATTCAATGGGATTGTGGCGACACTGCTAATCCTGAAGATCATGGTTTTCTAAGGTCAGGCAAACGTAACATCACCCAAGACGAGGGAGTGCCTTCCACTGCACATCGCAAGTGCCAAAATATGGTCTACTGGAAAGGAATCACAAGCTCGAGCACCACGTTCTCAAGTTAGTGGAAAAGGCATTCACAAACAGTGGACTATTGTACACTCGAAGGGCCCCTTCGGCAGGAATCTCTTCATGGAAGACGGGAAATACACACGCACACTATCGAGATCTGAACGAAAGAGAAAAACGACTATAACTCGAACTCATACTCTTAGGGACTAGTGCATTATGTTCAACTCCAGTGAGCGGGCACCGAAGAGGTTGGGAGATTTTCAGAGAAGTGTTGGGGCGGCGCCAGTTTCGTCATTAGCAGAAACAATTACCCTAGAAATTTTGTCAGTGAATGGACTTGCAAGGATTCCAGATCTAAGGAAAAATTGAAGTCTAGAACACTTGAATGAAAAGATGGAATTACATACACTAAACGTGTAAAAAATCACAAAATAAAGACAGTTCTGGGTTTCTAGAGTATAATGCAGAAGATGTCCAATTCAGCACTTGAAGTTGGTTACACTACTCACCCGTTGACTAAGTTAAAACATGGAAAATCAAGGTGGCATTCAGACAAACTGACCTGTTCTCGTGATTTACTTAGCACTTCTGCACAAGGGAATATGTTAAAGGATTGATATATAACATCCTACTAGGACAAGCTCGTGTTAAAAAAAACTGATCTAGTTGCGGGACACGAATGTAGGCGTGGTTCTAAGCACCAGTACAAAAAAGACAGTACTCACTGCCTAAGGTATGATTATCAGAACAGCAAGTTATTTGACAGGATAGAACTCAAAAAAGAGTATGCAGTATCCTCATGGACGACACAACTGAATTTGATTCTAAAATCCACAGATATCATAAATTGAACAGTTTAGTCCTACAAATTAACAGGACAATTTTGATCTTTTAGTGAAGCAGTCAACTAAAATGACTACTTCCCAGCTATTAAGTTCTCAAGATAAGAAATTGTAAGTGAAACGCAATTGCAGTACATCTAGATTCAATGGATGTATAAAAATACATGTGGCCTCCCTCCGAGACATAATACCGTCTCTCTCCAGAACTAATATTCCTCTAATGAGATAAATAGGAAAATAAAAATAAAAAGAGAAAAAAGATGTAAAGACACAGAACCGCACGTCAAAAAACCAGGTGCGGCTCCGACTCAAGGGGTAAAACTCCTCAGAATCACGTTTAAAAGAACCCCATTAGTCTCAATCATGGACAAATATCATTCTCCTTAAATGCTTTCCCCGGCATAGATAGAAATCATTGAGTCGCTTGCTCCCGCAGCTAGTAACACATTGTAAGGGTGGAAGCATAAGGATGTGACTGCACCAATGCTTTGGCCTAGAAAGCTGGTGTGATAACGAACCACGCTGAGCTGCTCCCCGCTCGTACTGAAAGTTTTGATTCGTTGCTTGCCTGATCCTGTTGCAATCACAGGGGCATAGCGGTGAACAGCTATGGAGGTCAAGTTGCCTTTGAGTGCATCCACCTCCAGATAGGGTTCTGAACTCTTCCTTATATCTAGCATCTTTAAATCTCCAGATTGTGAGGCTGAGATCATCTGCATCAAAAGCAAGACATCAAAAGGCGTTCAAATAGGCGAAACAAAACTTGAAATACACCATTAACGCATTTCATGAAACTTTTCTAACAACCAACACTAACAAGAATGGACATAAAAGTAATCAATAAACAAGCAACATTTGCATCAAATGTCGCAACATAGACTAACGATAATATTGAAACCAGAGAAACTAGAGCACGAGGTGTGGTCTTAATTGAAGATCGAATCAAAGAACATTAAAACCCACCTTGAGGTCATCACCCCCAGACAGAAAATCAAGACCTACAACTTTTGTAGCATGTGGTTTCATTTCAGAAACAAGCCTGCAAACTCAGTAAATGAAGGATTAACATTACAAAGGTTGAAGTACGTGTAAACGTAAACGTAAAACACATACAAGCCCTCAAAATCGGATTAAAATAAATACTGAGTAGAACAGCCGCAAATTCCTCAGAGTTACATAACTTTTACTACTCCAATTAAAGCACTTACATTTCTGTAGAACGAATGTCATAAACCCTCACAGAACCATCAGCACATCCAGTGAGCACATGGGAATTGTGCGTCTGACACGCAGCCTGTCATTGATCCAAAAATAAATTTAGCCGCATGAAAAAAAAAAAAAAATATTAACGACAGCAGTGATACTAAAATTTATGCAAGAAAAAGTGAACTCCAGCATATGAAAAATGCGGACGCAGACAATCCTAACAGAAAAAAGTACCGATTAATCAAAAAAATATTATAAAACCAACACATGAATCATTTAGCAACATTTAAGCGCTCGCCGGTGAACTAGAATCTCAAACTTACCATAGCAGACACATAACTATCCGAATGAGTAGGAATGCTGGAGGCTAGCTGCTCCCGATCGAGATCCCATACCAAGATACTAGAGATTTGACTCGTTGCATACTACAATCACAAACGAGAATAGAGGTGTAGATTATGAAAATTGTCAACAGAATAATCCTAGTAGCAAAAGTAAGATCTAATAATCAGAAGATGCATGGTGTAAAACTCATTCTTAAGCAGTATGAAAGTCCTACACAATCTGCACCATAAATAAACTATCTGAAACTTGCTGGAATTATAGAAATTGAAATGCGGAATGATTATGGAGAAGTAAGACCAATTCGTTACCAGAAAGCCCGTCATTTGTTGCCAATCTACCACAGCACTGATACCTCGAGCACCAGGTCTGTGCCCCTGCACAGCCTGCCATGAAGACGCAAGGCGATGCTTGCCCTTCTGTGTATAATCTTTCCACACCCTTACAATCCCATCACCTGCAAAGAATGGATTGCACAAAGGTAAACGAAACACCCAAGAACATCTAAATTTAAAGTTCCCATCTTACAAATGGGATCATAAATCAATTCCACAAAACCAGGACAGCTGACTCTCCACAATTGTAACGACAATGTAATGAACATGTTGAAGAATCAACAAGGCTCATGAACCTCTCAAGTATTGAAATGTTAAGGCATGAAGTATCTGACGCTAAGTCACTCGATTTTGATAAGAATGTCACCGTCATTGATGATGCCAATGCAGTGGCAAGTGGAGTACATGAAAAATAGACAAAGGACTTACTTGAAGCAACAAGCAATAAACTATCATCCAACTCGTTGAGCAAACAAAGCCTGGAGACCCCTTTGTCTGGGGCATTATGGTTTTCAAAGGTGTTTACAACTTCGCCTAAGTCGTAATCCAATATCCTGCAAATGAAACCTCAGAATAGATCATTCAGAGATACACCTATCAACAAAGGAGTAACAGAGATAAACACACATGCAGGCTCATTTGAAGAATCAAAATTTTTGAATCACGCTCTACACAATACAGAGTGCATTCTAACTTTAATTCTGATACGGGATGAATCAGGTCATAAGTGGATTCTATGTGGGGGAAGAATTACTGCATGCTCCTCCCGAATGAGCTTAGTAATACAAATTCACGAACTTGAAGGCAAATGAATCATGTGATTGCTCACTACCTTCAGCTTCAATTGAACTTGACAGCTACGCCTTTACATATTGATACAAGACATCACAACCAGATGCCAAAATGGGAGTTTATTGCAAGGGAAGAGAGGTTTATAGTCAGTTAACCCCACCAGAGCATAAACATTACCTGATTGTCTCGTTCCCATCTGCAATACAGACCAAAGGCTTGAAGGGGTGCATAAGCACTGCTTTGGTTCCAACTTCAGACCCAGTATCCCAACTGCCAATCTCATCAGTCACTTTGCTTGCACCTACTCCCAATTTCGACAAACCACAATAAGTCGAACGCCAAGCATAGTCATTGATAAAATGATCTCCAGGTTGAAACTGGGACTAGGATCAGTACTGAAACTGCGACTCGAGGTAAGTCACAAGACGGATAAAGGATGACAGTCCTAGCATGTTCAGATGACAAGCTTGCGATATACACAATTTACACATTACCCGCGCAGAATCAGATAACCACTGCTTTACATAATCTACCTCCCACCAGGTTCAAACATGGTGCTAAAATCTTTGCGCTCAAATGAATATATACCCTTAGAACGGACCAAAAAAATACTCACATGATTGCTGACACCTTTCAATGCCTTCGATCGCTTCTTTCTCTCTCATTTCCCGGCGGGCTAATATCTCTTCTTCATCATCGTGATAGGGCTCTAACAATGGCCGAGAAAAGTGTCCACAACTCCACTTATAAATGAATGATTCTGGCAACAGGGGTCCACTTGGACCTGCCTCCAAAGAGACTGCTGAAAGTCCAAACGTCGACATCCCAGCTGCATCGGCTAGACCAGGTGTCGATGTGTTGAGAATGGGAGATGAAGTATGGGCAGCGATATCTCCAGCGATTCGAACTGCCGGTCTGGAGGAATCCCAAGTTCCGCTCAATGCTGAAGAAATATCCATAGATGCTACACGTCTAAGACTACTACTAGGACCTGCAAGAAACGGTGGTCGAGTAGGAGGGCTGGGAGGTGGCGTTGAGATTCGCCAAGTGCTTGCAAGGTTTCCTGTCAAGAAAACCAATTACAAATTATTCCATGGCGTGCGTCTTTCAAAAGGCATTTATACAACAAACTTCGAACCCATTTCCAAACATTGCATATTCGTAATCAAAACAAAAAAATAATGACGGTCTGATTTGAGTCAAACAAATTCCACAGATATTAGGATGTAATATTGGTCACGAACCTGAAGCAGAAGCCACCCAAGAAGTAGACCTATGCAATATGCCAGCAACAGGAGGGGTAGGAGGAAGAGCAGCTACAGGTGTATTTCGCAGGTAACTGACACCACCATTAGCTCTTGAGGGTACCACAACTTGTGCTGCATCAACTCCACTTAACCTCAAGACTTTCCGACCCAGACTAGCCACGCGAGGGAAAGAGTCTCTAGCCAGCGCATACACAGCCATGATGCACTGCACGTAGACACTGCCAGCTTCTGATCGTCTCCATAGCCGGGACCCTTCATTGCTAGCAGCAGTGCCACTGGATTCTCTGAACACCGGGTCATCAGACGAAGGGGAGTGTCCTGCAGATGCTGAAGAGTGGCAATATATGATGAGCGTATATAGAATAAATCCAGGAACTGCTGGAATGAGTATCTTACAATTTATTAAAGCTCATTGCACAGCCAATCAAAGGCTGCATGTCACATAATTCAAATGGGCAGTGTGTAATTCCACAAAACTTTCGTTCTTTAAGATGACACATTACCCAATGGAACTCAAATCTAACTTCCAAAAATAAAATCGCACGGTTCATTACAATAGTATTTTGCTATCAAATTTGAAAATATTGGTATGGTACGAATTTACAAAGCCAAGCATTAAGTGAATTGATTTTACCTGGTGACCCTGCCGAGGACCCACTAGTACGGACAATGCGCACAACTGGTCGGTAGGGTATTCCCTCCTCCAAACTCTGAAGACCCTGGTCGATGTCTAGATATGAACCAGAATGACCAAGTTGTGCCGGGTAAGGGTACACTGGGTTCCTGTAACCAGCTCCATAGGTTGGCAGAACTGCTGCATGGGAAGGAGGTTTTAAGTAAGCTGCAGCAGACTGACGGAACATCTTGTTGTGTGAGGAAGCCAGACGTGCCATCGCTGAAACAACCAACACCTAGTATATTAAAAATAGAAAATAGACTTGAAAAGAGATTTCAACCTACACTCTCTCTAGCATACATCATCTATACGTGGCTCGAAAGTAACATCAAGAGAACTAAAAAATTCATTGCTCACTTCACGGACTGACTCATTAACATTAGTAAAAACATTTCCTCACCTATTGCAAGCTCAGCTCGAACAAGTGGACTTCCATCACACAAAACTTTTAGGAGAATAGTTGCCATCTGTTGCTCCGCAGTTAGACTATCCCCATCCGCATCGCTTTCGGTTTCTTCTGAGGAAAACCCGTCTGCTCCGACTTTAATAAGGGTCCCCAACGCGTATGTAGCCGCAGCTCTAACCTAAAAGAAACGATACCACCAGAGCTCCACACATTAATTCAACCCGAATTTACCCACAATATATAGCATCAAAAAAACCTTTCACACACATATGGAGTGAGAGAAAGAGGGAGAGAGAGAGTGCGGAAGAAGGGGGTTTGCTGAAGATCTTAAGGTACGAGGAGAGATATAGTGACAAGGTACTTAATTACACAAAAAAGTAACACTCTAGGCTCACCTCAGGCTGCGGCTCAGAAAGAACTCTACCGAGAATAGTCGGTGCATGTTCACGTAGAGCTAAGTCGATCCCTTCAGCAGATCCATCCCAAAGCTTACCCAAACAAAGACAAAGCCACTGGAGCAGCAAGGGTTCAGGCGATGGAGCGTTTGGAGATGCCTGTATATTTATAGCTGCTTGTATGTGTGAGAGGCAAATGGTGATTAATCCAGCCTCAATACAAGCTTGCTGACCATGTTGGTAATCATCAACAATGACTGCCAGAACAAATGCAGCCATAGCCCGCTGCTCCGCATGGATATCAGGACTATCAAGAAATTGTACGAAGTACGGGTGACCACCATCCCTGACGAGATCAACCTGACACGACTGCATCATCGTCGACGAAAAATTTCGAACATCAGGTATGAAATCCCACTTAACTAACCCGTGCCATCACTGGAAGCTCAAAGGTGAAACCGCTGATTTTGAATAGGTCCTGATCCTAACATAATTGTTCATGATAGTCGATACCTACCGATGTGCATAACTATCCATAAATTGTGTGCAAGACAGTCTCAGTTCGTGCTTGTTACGTGAACACAAATTTCATTCATTAATAATCACAGGAGGTATAAAAGAAAACATCAAAATTTCATGACTTCACGACCGAAAGATGACAAGCGTTGCAAATGCTTGCTTGGCGCAAGCTAAACAGCACTTCATACCCACAAAGAGCCCTTACATATAGAACTATTCTGAACAAAATAAGAGATAAACTATACAGAATGAGAACAACACCTTGTCAAGAGCTAGAATCTTTGTCCATATAAATACAAGAATTTGCCGCAAATCAGTAGCCGTTGCTTGCAGCAGCTTAAGGACATAGGGGAATATTCCTACAGACAAAGCCTGGTAAAAACAAAAGTACACAATACTTCATTAATGAGACACAAAACAGAAGGTGTTCTGCCCAAGTAAGGATTGCGACCAAATATATATTGTTTCACATATCTTCTTACTGAAAGGTTCACACTAACCGAGCGATACAACAGGGGCAAAGCTCTGAATAAGAACTGACAAGGAGATGATAGTTACCAAATCCAAAGCCCACGCTCCCATGTCCAAAAATCGGCCCAAAAGTACCAAAGCTCGAAATCTATGAGATTGACTAAGTAACACCTGTAAACTCAAATCGAAGAAGCATCTCTCATCATTCAAAACATAATCACGCACGACAAAAAGCATTGAACAGGCCTTTACCGGGAAATTGGTAGTGTGATTCTGTACGAGTACGAATCTCCGTTACATAAGTCAGCATCGATTAAGTAAAGGAAAAGCCTAGTCCTGAAAAAAAAAATGAGGAAAGTTTTCGAAAAGCTAACCATACTTAAATAAACTGTCACATTGATGGCCGATGCATGTTATCAAACAAAATATCCCAACGATCACAAACAGCATCTGTCCACGAGCATTCAATCACAAACACACATCTGGATTTTATCCAGGTTGCCAGGTACTATGCGACACAATACCTGCAGAACAATGGGAAGCTGCTCTGGTGGCTTTTTCCTATCAGAGCCATGCTCCAACCAAACTTCAAAAGCTGTCAATTGCTCCGTAAAAAAAAGACTAGGCTGCAAAACAAAAGACTTGTTTAATTAACCTTGAACTTGCGTGTGCACAAGAGTCTACACAAATGAAGCATTAACAACATGCTATCAAAAAGAAAGGTAATGGATCTGATTGTAACCCGTCATATGAACGAATTGTACATCTCAAATATATGCATCCCCAAATGTGTACCAAAGAAACCCAGAATTCAGAAAAACCACAGTATTAATATTTTGTTTTGAAGCAAGAAGCTCCATAAGTTTTCCATGCAGAAGATGTTAAATTATTTTATTTTTTATTGAAAAATTACAAAAAAATAACATATTATTATTAATATAATAAACTTCTGTTATCTTTTCAAAAAAAGAAGCGAACTCCACATCACATATCAAAAAAAATTCCCCTTGATTTGAAAACGAGGACTTGTTTAGAACCTTGTAAACCAATACCCAACTGTCATAGTCCTATACAAAAAATAGAGACAATGCTTCGTGAAAACCTGGAATTCAGCGTTCTCAGGATCGTTCAACAATGTTGGCAACTGTGAAAGACAAACTTCAGCTGCCATATCCCACGCATGCCTGCGTGAATACCACACAACATTTAATAAATCGAGGATTTTTTTAAGTGATGCAGAAGAATTTCAATTGTAAGTATTACCTTTTTGTAATGCACACTGAAGCAATTCCAAGAGAGGAAAAGCTACTAATTATGAAAATAAGTTCATCTTTCTCATATAGCTTACACAGGATGCATATTAACTACGAGGGAACACCTACATAGAAACTTCGCTGGATCCAAAATCTCATCATAAAGTTACATAATGCATGAAGAACAGAAAGAGAATAACAAAAGATCATGAAACAAATTACATACCACATAGGATGTTGATGCGTGGGGGGCAAGCGAGGATATGACTGCGGACAGCAGTTAGCAGACCTCATAATACGTTCAGCCAGCAAGAAATTCCGAAACAAGCTGGCAACAAGAAGATCTTGCCGGAACAACCGCTGAAACAGCTCTGCATTCATAAGTTTCAGATGTTAAAGGCTCGAGTTCGCGGACACTGAATACCAGCCAAGTCTGCACAGTTGGTTAATGTTACACCTAAAGGTCAAATTATCTAACTGTTGATGCTGCATTCAATAAATAAATAAATAAATAATAAATACAGCGAATAAAATCGAATAAGGAGATTCAGGTTACTTACCTCGCGGCAGCACGTTCCATGCAATTGTATCAGTTATAGCAGTAAATATCCAATTCAACTCCCCCAAAGGAGTTTTCCTATCATTCTGACGACCGGGTATCTGGTCGATAAGCTCAGGATCTAAGCGAAGTAAAGATCGTGGACAGAACCTGAACCATAAGAAACTATCACTTAACACCCATGTGTACATCAAGCCAGAGTAACAAGCACAGATGCATATCATCATCTGGAACGCATAATACATGACTCTTGCAAAACAAAAAACTTCTTGAAGTTCCAGTCCAGAAACGCTTCCAGCAAGAAGTATTCAAGTCAACCCCATGGACTTAAGTTGAAAGGAAAAAAACAAGTATGCTAATTCAAAGGAGCCAATTCCCAAAAGACAAGGATGTCAACTTTAAGTACAGGTAATGTTTCAAGTGATAACATCCTGTGGTGTAGGGAAAAAACCATAACTCAGATCAACAAATACAGTAGATCTAAACATCTGAGAGAAGTTACTAAACCCTCAAGTGAAAAGTTACCATCTCAAAGCAATTTTGATCGGGGTTGTAAGACAGGAAGTAAAGACATCAGCTGGCAGCTCCGTATCCTGAGGAAGTGTTTCATTTGCTCCACAAGCAGCTAATAATATGCAATCTTTCAGAGAATTCGAAGATGCACCCCCAAGACCCCACTCAGGTCGCTATTTCAAACCAATGTAAACGCATAAAATTAGTTTCCATGAGCCTAAGCTGCAAAACGAAAGGATTTCTTTGCGAAACTAATAGCAACCCCCAGGTTGAAACAACGATGGCTATCAAGTAAATCCGTTAATTAAATGAGTTAAACATTGCTAAACCATGAATAAATCACCTCGCAGAACGCATTCACAATCATGCCAGCTGCTGAGCAATCGAACACATAAATGCAAGGATTTCCAAGCCACGACTCCAGTTCGTAAACTGAAAGCGGTATGTATTGAGTGAAATTCTGCCACAAATCCAATCGAAAACATAAGCAGAGCACGCAACGAATATCCCTTTATTTTACATGTTTAAGCTAATGAACCATGAGTACATCTGTCGAAACACAATGCTTGGGGCCTATGTGCAGTCAGGTCTTATTGGTCAGTGAAAAGCATTCATTTTACAGCACTTTGCATAATCGCTCTCAAGGAACACTGTGAAAAGTCAAAAATTGATCAAATCGATTCATATAATTTATTATACACCGCAGCAAGCTTACCAGAACATGGGCAACAGAATGAAATGTGAACATCATAACAGAGGACCTTCAACCTATGAGTAGATAACCATTTTACCAGGTGTTACAAGATAATTCCAACACACAGAGGGCAACAGCAAGCTAGAAATCAACCTTGTTGAATACCCAAATCTCTCCATTAGTTGTTGGTCTTGGAACACCGTGACCGTTATAATGAAACAGTACTCTTTCGCCCTTCGCATTCTTCCTGCAACTTAGGCACAATTTTTTTACATCTTCGACAGTAGGATCTAAAGAGACCTTGTAGCGCGCCTGCAATCAAGTCACATACAAGTGATTAGCAATTACCATAGACAAATACTAAGCAGCTGGCATCATCTAAACGTAGCCAGCAACAAAACTAGTAAGATTCAACTTCCACCGCAAATATGATGTTGACATGAAGTGAAAAGGACATCAAATATCAAAAGTTGAACGAAATATTCCAAAGAGTTAAGTTTGATTTCGCCCAGGCGAATTTTCTTTACAAATGTGAGCAGAAATTGTAAAAAAAAACATAACATAAGATAAAACAGCTTACCCTGGGCTGCCACCGCTCATACTGAGTTTGCAGGTTCTTCCCAATTGCTTCTAAAGCTTTCACAGAGGCGGTTGAGAATGGATCTGCAAATCAGAAAGCGTGTCAAATGCAAGTGCTCTGCAAACACTGGGGCGATAATCGGAAATGCAAGACAAAATATCTTTCACTAAGCAAGCACAAGCGCTTGTTGAATAAAAAAAACTACACAGACTAATACACCAAAATCATGAATACTAGGTAAAACTAATCTTTAAAAAATTGAATTAAACATGTAATAGTAGTCTCGAACACTATAGTAAATCATTAACAAACATAATTTCAGGAAATGATAGAGCATAACGTGTCTATGCATAAAGCCATTTTATTACAAGTTGACAAACGTCTTATAACACAATCAGATAGGTTTAAATACCTATCCAGCATTCCAGTCGGGCGCAAGGTGAGATTTTAATAACATCCGGTGGATCCACTCCAATGTTCAAGCACAAACACAATGCGACCCATCCAGTTTTCATCTGTCATTGAAGAGGATACACAAGGACATTGTTGATAAAATTGGTTCAGAAGCCCAAAAAACCTCACCATGCAACATATACAAAAAATGTAATTAAAGGCGAAATTAGTCGCACGCCAAAATAATAAGAAAAAAGCCAGTCATAAACGAGGAACCCACCCAAAAACGAGGAAAAATAGGCAGCATCAAATGATTGTGAATTTCTAATTAAACTAGGCCTAGAAGCCAAGATACCTTCCGATCAGCACAATGTTATAGACGGCATAAAACTGTAGGCGAACAAGAAGAAGGATATCAACTCGTCAAATGCCATAACCAGCGAAACCCACCTTGAGGATATATATACTCAATCAGAAGTACCATGAAAATGTATCCAGCGACAAATCTCCACTCCTTGGAAATTCCATCGAGGAAAACTTGCTTTCACTCTAAAATATTTTTTATTTTTTTAATTAAAAAGAGAATATCAAAAATAACAAATAAATAAAAATTGTACACTTATATAAAAGTTGGCACGCAACTATCACGCATACTATGCACAAACTAGAAAATGAAGTTGTATAAAAGAATTGACAATGAGTTCTGGGAGCATCCAACGTACAAATTATGTGATGAGCAATTAAGTTAAAGCTAAAATTTAAAGACTCTCTTTGTGGAAATATTACACTCTGTTTGAAACAAAAGCGGGGCAAAGCTCCGTTAGTGGTAACCAGCAAATATTCAAACAATTTTGGATGATAAATCAAAATTTCTTTATAAAGTACCACAACAATACCAGGCGTCCATAGTTGACTGACATGACCAATAGAATCGTCTTACACCATCAAGTCAAGCAGGGAATCGTCAAAGCCGCTTCTCTTTCAGCTTCCTCGAAATAATCATTAATTAAAAATTATATGCAAATAACGATGCACTTATCAAAAGCCTTAAGATTCTGTTACAACAATGATGAGCCTCAGGAAGACAAATGACAGAAGGCAGCATCAAAGAATTGTTGGAGCTACTTACTCGATCTTTCATTCTCCACCTCGAAACAACGCCAGTTTCAGACGCCGCCACACTGGCTTCGTCAATATCATGACGCAAGTCACAGAGGTAAGAGGTATTGGAAAGGAAGGACACCCCGCGTTCGTTAGCACAGCGCCCCTCATCTTCTTCTGCGAGCTGGAGTACATCCTCGATCTGGTTCCTTCTACTTAAATCTTCGATCATGTTCTGCGGAAGGGTTGAAACGACATGCGGCGCATCGAGCGGACCTAAGTGTCCTCCCCCCATGCTATCCATACACCGCTCCCTACAAAGTACTGTATCTCTTAATGCCATTCTCTGTAGTGAAAGCCCACCGTAATCCTCCACCGCATCTACGTCGGAGCATCCAAGTCATCCTCGGCATCTGCCACGTTCAAAACTCAAAATGCTATGGAGCCGCTTTCATGAGGAGCAAACGAGTGTTCACCCCAAGGTACTAAGGAAAAGCCATTCACCTCGCAGAGAAGGACCTAAAGAACCTCCACTTCGTGAATGCTGACTTTCTCACCAAGAAACCGGGAAATCAGGGGGGCGCCATTGCACGACCGAACGGGCGGCACAAGGCGCCCATATCTCACGAGGTCCGAGCATTTCCACGTTCCAGCGTTAAAGATAAGCAGACTTTTTTCCCGTTTTTTCTTTGATTCAAGTTCCTCAGAAGAAAATGAGTAGCCCCAAGTTGGGACCAACCGCCGGGAGTTTAAGGGGGGAGGGGGAAAAAATTATAAAAACGAGCGAAAGGGTACGCAATGCACTTGCAGCTTGTGCTCTGTCAATATTGAATGATAGAAGACAACATCGGTTGAGGGTGACCAGAACGCAATCGTATAAAGGATTACCCGTGACAAGCTGCCAAATGAAGTCTAAATTTCAATGTCCGAGGATAATAATCGACTTTTACTCATTTCAAATGAGAGGATTTAGATGCTGAGCCTTCGGCTTCCAGACCTTGAATGAGAATCACCCCGCTGCTCTTCACAACACCGCGCACAAGCTCTTGGAACCCAGAAACCAGGTTTGCATACACCACTGCAGGGAGAGCTAGGCTTCCGTCACCACCAGTCACACACAAACCTGCGCCTACCAAACAAAACCACGTGCCAACATTGTTGAATTCTTCGCACTGAACAAGTCCAGTGGCAAGCCAGCCACCCACTGAGAAGCTTCCTTAGCCGAATTCTAGGGCAGGCGAATCGAATACGGGGGCGCCACAATCACTCCCCTCACGCCATCCTCACAACGTCCCGAAGCACCAACAGTTCCAACGGCCCGACATCTCGCAGCAAGGTAGACCTCCGCTGAAGCTCATCGTCCATGATGAGACAAATTCCGGACTCAGCTCATCGCGGTGGCGGTAACACAGCCAGAAGGTCGCAAAGAAGCTAACAACACCACCACTGACTGTCGGATAACAGTCGAAGTAGCAGCAATAGCGCGGAGAACGAATGAAGAAGGTTCAGGGCAACAGCAACAGCGCGGGGAACGAATGAAGAAGGTTCAGGGCAACAGCAACAGCGCGGGGAACGAATGAAGAAGGTTCAGGGCAGCAGCAGCAGATGAGGAATCCAGCAGGAGGGGAGAGAGAGCAGAGAGTAAAGAGCTTGGAGACGCTGATGGTCGCAGGGAAAGGGAGGGAGGGGGGAGCGCCATAGCCAGAAAGGGACGGAGGCGAAACATTCACGGGGGCTGGGGGGGGGCGGGGGGGGGGGGGGGCTGCCCGCCCTGTCCTACCCAGCCTCTGCAACATGACGCTCGCTGCAAATTGAAACTTGACGGCCCTCGACGCGCCGTTACATCGCGTCACTATCTCCGCAATCGCGGCGAAGGTCGATTGTGGAGCGACCACGCTCTCATAGCCGCCGGAATTGCAACGGAAGACGGCGGCGAGCCGCGACGCTTCCTTGACAGTGGAAGCGACAGTTGACGACAGTCGCTGCGGCTGCTTCCCCACCCCCCCGCCCTCCGCCGGGTTCGTGGACGGCGTCTCTCCCCGTCATCCCTCTCCTCCGTTCCGTCCCGTTCCGTTCCGTTATTACCCTTTTCCCCACTCCATCCATCACTCCATCCTTTTTTTTCCGCATAAAAGTTTTTTTTGTTTGTTTGTTTGTTTTTTTTTTTTTTAACACAAATAGAGTAATTCCTCTTTTGTAAGAAGGTAAGTTACATAACCCCAGCCAAGTCTGTCCATGGTGTTAGTTTACAACAATAAAAGGATAAAGTAACATACAACGATTTCCTACAATCTTTATTGTTAGGATAATTTCCACATTGGCTTGTGAACTGTCCAACTTGCCAATATTTGGTTTGTACACCAAAATTGGCAAAATTGTTGAATGTATTTTATATCTTATTACGTATATTCTTGCTTGAGAATGCACCAGGCAACTAATCATAAAAGGTAAGTAGAAATGCAATAACAATCCTACTTAGTCTAATAGAATCTTAAATAAATTTTAAGTAATCTTTAATAATCTTAATCAAACTTAACCAATTTAAAATAAATTTAAAAGAAGTTACAAAAGAAATACAAAGAAGTATTAAATTAATCCCCAAAAAATAATGAAGAAATCTTTAAAAATATATATAAAAATAAACTTGTAAAGAAATAATAATAATTTTGAAGAAATATTAGAAATAAAAAGTCTTAAAGAAACAAAAAATAATATTTTTAAATTACCAAAAATAGAAATCTAAATAAATCCTAATTAAATCCTAATTTAATCCTCATATGCTTCAATCTAAGTGCTCGATTGACGTCAAATTTTTCACACATATTTACAACAAGCACAAAAATAAACTACAAAATTTTCACTTTTATACATGCTATGAAACTCAAGAATTTTTCAAATTTATAAACATATTTTTATTTTTCAAAATCTAAATCCATTGAATACATTATTAATTTTGAAAATTCTTCAAAATCTCAATATTAATTTAAATGACATGAAACTAATATTTAAAAATCTTTCCTTAACTCTACTCTCAAATTCCACTCTTTAATTTGCAAAAGCACCCTAGAGTTGCTACATGTGCGTGGTTTTATGCCTTGGGATTTGATTTCAATCTAGATTGACAATCGGTCTTTTCTAGATATCAATTTTTAATAATTTGAAGTAAATTTTACTTTAACATATTATTAATTCTCTCCTAAATATATTTATATCAATTTCTTATTTCATTTACTTTGATTTGGCTCATTTATGCTTCTACAAAGTAAATAGAAGTTTCTTCTACAAAAAATAGCATTAAGACTAAAACATTTACTATCTTTCTATAATTTATCATTATTTTTTTACTACATCTTTCTACTAGGTTCTTTTATAATAAAATGTATGTTTTTATTTTTCACCATATAATTGTATTATAATCTGACATTGGCTATGAAGAGTAGTCTACATTTTATATTATCCTGCATTTTTAATTATGTATTTTTTCTATAATCAACTAATTGTAGCCAAATATATGGATATACTTGAACAAAAGGTCAAAAAATACCATTGAATGCTACATCATTTCTTTCAATCTACAACACCTATATTACAATATTATGTATTAATAACCAAATTCAATTGATTTGCTTTCAAGATTATTTATTGACCTAGAAAACAACAAGGTTTATTAGACATACTTTCTAAACATTGTTATGTAGTAATATAGCTATTAGATCAAAGAAGAAAGAAAGTATTTTATTGTAGAAGAGCCTAATTAAAAAGATATAGTAAAAAACCATACATAAAAGATAAACAAGTTATAAAAGCTTATAGTGTTAATATTGTCTTTTATTAAAATAAGTTCTATTTTCTTTGTACAATATTATATGTGATTTGGCTACTATTTAAAAATAATATATATATATATATATATATTTATATATTTAATATATAATTTATTATACAATACAATGAGAGCTATGTTATTAGGTTTTAATTGGTTATAAAATGTGATTAAATTACTACTTTGAAGTAATTAATTTAAAAGAGCTGCTATTGAGATAGATTTTATATTGATAATAGTTTTCATATATTTAGAGCCACCTTTATTAGACATTAGTGATTCTTAAAATCTTACTTTATTTCTTTTAATTGATATTTAGAACACATATTATGCAAAACTTATTAAAAATAATTTAGAGAATGATTGTTTTATAAAAAGAGATAATTAGGTCAATCATATAGATGAATGGAGATGGATGATAAAAAAATTCATTCTTATTGGATGAAAGTCATGTCCAATGGACTTCAAGGAGGCTGCTTAAGATCTTATTAGGAATTAGAGTTACTCTTTCTAAGGCATTTAAATATCAAAGATTAAATTTGTCTACTTTAGGATTTTGGATATAATTTTGGTAAAAAGTTTGTATGATTTGGAATTTTTATGAAGAAGATATAGGTGCTCAAAATTAAGGTATTAATTTTGTACATACTATCACTCTTTGGAGCATAACACAAGTGTATAAAGGAATTTTGATGATTGAATTATGCAATTAGAAAGTTGATTTAAAGAATTATATTTTTCATACAAAAAATAGAAGATTTAGAATTTATTTAGAAGAATAATGACTACTTGAAGACAATACTTCTAAATTGAGATTTATTAGTGAAACAATTTCATGAGACATTTGGTTTTAGCCATATCTTATGCATTTGAACAAATCTTTGGTTAAAATTTTAAAAAAGCTTGTGAACTTTGACAAAGCAATGGATTGAAAATTCATACTTTGTTGCTTCAATAAATACATTATTTTCACACTCCGAAGCTGAAGATATGCAAATTGATGTAATATGGTTCAAATTTCATATAGCAAAAGAAAAGAAAACTTGATTTTAATAAAGCCTATATTTATATTATGGTGACGAAGGTCACAAATCTAAGAATTGTCCAAAGAAACAACATGCAATCAGAACTAAGAGTATGATCATTTAGATAAACAAAGAAGTCCAATCACAATAGGGACTATGTCGCTAGACATTTCAATACCTTAAATTTATGAAGGTTTTTCTTTCTCTATCCAACCTGCTTGTTATTTTTCTATACTTTTATATCTTGGCCTATAAAAAATTTAAATAAATGACTTATTAGATTCAAGAATATTTGCTTGCTTTTTAAATGAAGAATTTTTCAAACTTCATAAAACTCTTCAAATAAAATGTTCAAAATTTGTATATGTAGAAATAATAGATAGTCAATCTTTATCTTTAAGTAATATTATTCATGAGATCATACCACTAAAAATATCATTTGAAGGCTATAATAGCAAAATAATATTCAATATTATTTAAATTCTATCCAATCCTATTATACTAGGACTTTTGTGATTAAAAAGATATAATCCATTTATAGATTAGAGGTTTCATAAGATTCAAGAAAAATCTATCAGTGTTATTATAGAACCTATTACAAAATGAGCTTTTGACATTCAAAGATTACATTGACAAAAAACTTAAAAAATAACTTTATTTGGCATTTTAAATCTCCAATAAGTGTACCAATATTTTTTGTAAAGAAAAAAAATGGATCTTTAAGAATGTGTATTGATTATTGCAGCTTTACTAATACAATGGTGAAAAATCATTACTCATTATCATTGATATCAAGGCTTTCAAAACAACTCCATCAAGCTAAGTTCTACAAAAAAATAGATCTTTGTGGAGTATATAACTTAGTATAGATTAAAGAAAGAAATGAATGGAAGACAACATTTCAAATAAGGTACGGATATTTAAAATATAATAGCATGTCTTTTGAATTGACAAATATTCCATTTTAGCATATTTAAGCATTTGATGAATGATGTTTTTTGAAAATTCTTAGGCAAGTTTGTTATCTACTATCTTCATAATATCTTAATCTACTCCAAGATCCCTAAAAAACATAAATAATATGTGAATTTAAACTTATAAAAGTTATGAGATGTAAGATTATATACCAAATTAAAAATATATATATTCTATTAGCTAAAAATAGAATTTTAAAAATATATTATATCTAATAAAGGTCTATTGATAGATCTCAAAAAAAAATCAAGCATAATGAAGTAGGTAACTCCATAGGCAGTATGGATTATACAATGTTTTTTTTGATTTCTTGAATCTTATCAAATATTTATCAAGAATTATTTTTAAGTTTCTACTCTTTTTATTTAATTAACATCCAAAGATAAATTGGAATGGAGATCTTAAGTACAAAGGACTTTTTAAGATTTGAAAGTAACTTTTATTATAGCTCCAATATTATTGCATCAAGATTTTATAAAGGCCTTCTATTTGGAGACTGATATTTTAAACTTTACATTTGGATTTGTATTATCATAGAATAATAACTTAGAATAGAAAATTCTACCCAATTATATTTTATTCTAAAAAAAATTTAACTACGTAGTTCAATTATAAAATTCACAATAAAAAAATTCTTGTGATTGTAGATTCTTTCTAAGAATAGTATCTCTTATTGGAAGATGCTACACATTCTATGACTATATATGTAGACCACAAAAATTTGAAGTA